TCTGCTCCTTTTTGTTTTCTTTGTGTTAATATTTTATCATTTAATATTTCTTTTAAATTTCTTTATTTTTTCACCTTACATTTTAATTTACTTATTAGTACTCTATGACTTACTCATCTTTTGAGAATATATTTCAGATTTATGCTGTTAATTCCAATGAGATACAGAAGCATTCCTATATGGCTCTATTATTTATTCTACCTTTTTAACTAGTGCCTTTTTAACATATTACACTTCTATATGTTAAAAATTCAGCAATATATTTTTTATATATTAATGTTTTGCACAACCTTATACCTTTAAAGAAGCTGAGAGAGGAAAGGTGAGCTTTTATGTATTTATGGAGTACATTTACATTAACCTTGTAATTTACCATTTTTTTCTCTTCATCTATTCTTATAGATTCAAGGTACCATCTGCTGTCAATTTCTTATTCCAGTTCTTTTCTTTCATCTACTTCCTTTGGTCTGTTGCTGTAAAATATATTACATTTATGTATATCATATTGAATGATTTATTATCTTATATAATTTCTTCTAAGCAAATTATATAAGATAAATGAGGTAAAATATGCATTTATAATATCTTTTATAATTATATAATTATCTTTAAAGATGCTCTCTGTTTTTTTAATTTTGGATTTTGTTTTTATGTGGATTTAAATTTCTATCTAGATATCAAAGTCTGAGGAACTTACTTTAGATTTCTTGTGAGGTGGGTCTACTACTAATTAATTCTCTTAACTCCTGTTAATCTGGAACTGCCTTTGTTATGGTTGTGGATGTGAGGTGTCCCCCAAAAGTTCCCTTGTGGACAATGCAAGAAAGTTGGAGGAGAAATAATTGGGTTATAGCCTTAACATAATCAGTAAATTAATCCCTGCTGGGATTAACTGAGTGGTAACTGAAGGCAGGTGGGGTGTGGCTGGAGGAAGTGGCTCACTGGGGGCATAGCTTTGAGGTATATATTTTGTATCTCTAGATAGAGTCTCTCTCTCAGCTTTCTGATCATCTTGTGAGCTGCTTTCCCTCTACCAGGATGTTCAGCCTCACCTCAAACCCAGAGGAATGGAGCCTGCTTTTTGTGGACTAAGACCTCTGAAACCATGAGCCTTCAAATAAATTTTCTCCCCTAAAATTGTTCTAGTCAAATATTTTAATCACAGCAGCGAAAATCTGACTAAAACAGCTTTCATTTCTTTTTCATTTTTGAATCCAGTTTTGCTGGAAATAAGATTCTTTCAGTACTTTGAATCTGCCATTCTGGTGCCTTATGCTCTCCACTTTCCTATAAAAAGTCAGCTGTGAAGACATATTGGGGGTTCCTTTGGATTTGAAAATCATTTTCATTTACTGCTTTTAAGATTTTTCTCTTTGTGTTTATCTTTGAAGATTTTTTCTGTGATGAGTCTGTGTGGATCTCTTTATGCTTTTTTGAGCTTTGTGGATTATCAATTAATTTTTTAAATTAAACATAGTGTTTTCAGCCATTATTTCTTCATTTTTTTTCTGCTTTCTCTCCCCTCTTCTTTTGTTGCTCCCCTGATGTGATATTTGGTGCAGTTATTGATGACACACTAATTGATGTGTAATATAGTGTTTGAAGTCCTTTTCTCTGAGTCTCTTCATTCATCCTCATACTTTATGGCTCTTTTTTTTTTTTCTGCAGATTGCATACTCTCCAAAGAGCTAGCTTCAAGTTTGTTGTTTTTATTTCTGCCAGTTCATATCTATGGTTTAGCTCTTGTAGCGAATTTTTCATGTCAGTAATTATATTTTTTAGTGCCAGATGTCAATTTAGTTCTTTTTTTTTTAATTACTCATCATTTTTTTTTCCCTCTACATGAGGCAGTATGATGATTTCCATCAAACTTTACTTTCTAAATCATGGTTTGCTTTAGTTCTATTAATATGTGTGTAATAGCCACTTTGAGGTCAGTGTCTGTTAAGTATATCATTCACGCCTTTCACAGACATGCTGCCAGTGCCCCCCCACCCCCCACCGTTTTCGAGTCACACCTTCCATTTTCTTTGCATGTCTCATATTTTTGTTGAAATGTTTTCATTGTAGAAAATATACTCCAACAACCCAGGACGCTGATCCTTACTTATATGGGACTTGATGATTTTTTTGTTGTTGTTTTTATAAAATGTTATTTGGCTTGACTGCTTTATAAAGGTTCATTTCCTCCCACATTCTGAAGCCTCTGAGGTCACTTCTGAGCATGGCCTTGAGCAACTGCACAGTGACCCTTGGATAACAGTGCTTTCAACAGGGCTGTCTTTCTCTTTTCCTGATCTGAGTAGCTGTCTGCTTTTTGTACAAGTCACCTAACTATTGGGCTTGACTACTTATAACCTGGTTGTTCTACTATTTTCAACAATACCTTGAAATATCAATTTCTCAACAGTCTGACTTAATTGAAAGTAAAACACTTTGCAGATATAGCGTTTGAAGTCATTTTTTTTTCTTTTTCATTTTGTTCTGACCCCAGGAGACCTCTTCTTAGCCGTCTCCTTTCCTGCTACCTGATAAACAACACGGGTCTACAATCTATTTAATTTCTCTCATTGTTCTCCAAAGCACCCTCTCCCTTGCCCTTTTAAGTAAAGTCAGTGTCTCCCTGTTGGGACAGCTGAAGATTTTAAAAGAACTTTTCTTTTTTCTATTTTTTTTTTTAATACTTGTCCTGGGAAAAATCTTAGAGCCACATATATGGTGGCCTGTTTCTCTCAGAGTGACACTGTTCTATAAATGGGGCTCTTGGAAGTGTTAGTATCCTCTAGTCTTCTCCTGTTGTAAAGCCTCTGGTCTGTGTATGAGCTGGGCCATGGGTACTCATGTATTTTCTTTCTGCTGCACCAAGAGTAGAGCATCTTTTCCTTCAGGTGGTATTGAACGGAAGAAGAGAGCCTCCAATCTCTTGACTGCTGTCACCTGGAGTTCAGCCTCTACACAGCAAAGGTAGAGGAGATGAGAAATGCTTGTGGCCTGTTCTTCCCAGGGAAGCACATTATTCCTTATCTGAAAGCCAGGAAGGGAGAAACCTCATTTTTTTAACCATGCTTTCCTGCAGTGGAGCTTCCATGTTGAACTGGCGGGGATCATAGAGGGAGGGAGCAGATCATGATTCAACTGTGACAGACTCCCACTGTTCTCATCAAGATTTAGTAGATTTTCTTGAATAAATATTTAATTACTGTTTGCTTTTAGGACAATTTCTAGAGTCTTTAAGTATTTATTTATTTAATATAAATTTTAAAAAAGACTTTTTTAGGACAATTTATGGAGGCTTTAAATGTTTATTTTTTAACATAAATTTTTAAAAGATTTGTCCCTGTGATTATGTGTCCACAGAGCTCTTCATTTGTCATCCTGAAAGTGGACTGCTTTATAGTGTTAGATTTAATTTTCATTTTCTTAACAAAGAACCACATTGGATACATTTTCAAAGGCTTATTCACATCTTTTGCTTTTTTGTTGTTTGATTTTTGTTATTGTAAGTACAAGTTCTTTAAAGAGTCTAGAAATAAGCACAGCATTTAATATATAAACTATAATATTTTCTGACATTCTGTGTCTTGCTTTTTACTCTTAATGATGACTTTTAATCAGGAAGTTCTTAATTTAATGAAGTCCAATTATAATTTTTTAATGGTTTGTGGGTTTTTTTTAAATCCTTTAAAAGAAATTTTTGCTTTCTCAAAGATTCAGAAGATATTCTCCTTGTTTGCATCTAGAAATATTTTATTTTTAAAATTTAATTTTATGTGATCCATTTTGAATTTTCTCTGTTTATAAGATGGGATTCATTGAACTCTCCCTAGAGATCCAATGGAATAAGTACCATTCATTAGAAAAAAGTCCTTTTCTCCCTGAATTTTCCCTTTGTCATGAATCAAGTGGCCCTTTATCTGTGTGTCATTTTCTGTGCTCTTCATTCTATTCCACTGGTCTATGTGTGTAGTCTTAGGCTCAGGTCACATAATTTTAATTACTATTACTGTATAGCAAACCTTGAAATCTGATAAGACCTAGGGATTTTTTTTTTCTTTTAAGATTTCTTTGGCTATTCTGGGGTCTTTGCATTTTCACATAAATGCTTATCAATTTATAAATACACATACACGCATAGGCACGCATACCTATTTGGATTTTGATCAAACTTTTATTGACTTTATAAATCAATAAGAATAATTTTGATATTTTAATAAAATTAGGTCATTTAATAAAATTAAGTCATCTAGTCCATGAATGTGGTATATGTCTACATTTATTTAGTTTTTTTTAATATTTTTTTTAGTTGTTGATAGATCTTTATTTTATTTATTTATATGTGGTGCTGAGAATCAAACCCAGTGCCTCACACATGCCAGGCAAGTGAGTTACTGCTTAGCCCCAGCCCCAGCCCTGTTTAGGTCTTTTAAAACTAGTCTCTGTAATACTTTGCAGTTTTCAGTGTCTTGCACATCTATTATTGGACTTGTTTCTAAGAGAATTGATTTTCTCCTTATTGCAAATAGTATTATTTTAGATTTTTAAAAATTTATTTATTTATTTATTTATTTATTTTTAAAGAGAGAGATTGAGTGAGAGAGAGAGAGACGGGGGAGAGAGAGAATTTTTTTTTAATATTTATTTTTCAGTTCTCAGCAGACATAACATCTTTGTATGTATGTGGTGCTGAGGATCAAACCCGGGCCGCACGCATGCCAGGAAAGTGCGCTACCGCTTGAGCCACATCCCCAGCCCTAGATTTTATTTTAAATTGGTTTTTTGTTTAAATATCAGAATACACTCCATTTTCATGTGGTGACCTAACAATCCAGCAGCCATGCTCAATTCATATATTTATTCTTACCGTCTGTAGATTCTTTGAGATTTTCTATGTATGTGATTCTTCTAAATTTCATTTCTGTTATTGTCATAGATATTTTTCTTCTTTTGTTATTTCTCCACAGTAGACCTATTTTGTTTTGTTTTGTTTTTTGGTGCTCAACTAACATCTTTTGTTGTTGTTGTTATTGTTGTTGTTGGTGTATATTTCTTTCAATGGTTAGACAAGCATAAATCCAACTGTGGATTGCGATATTACTGACAAAAACTAGGAATGAGTCAGACAAGAGTTTATTTACTTCAACTTATAACTTCCTGTTTTCATAAAACCTCAAGATATCTCTTTTCTGGCATGGATGGCCTTATTCCAATATTGACTCCTTTATAACTCTGTTTTGTCCAAAGTCACAGCTATATCTTTTAATTCCTATAAAAATTTATATTTCTCTTTTCTCAGTTTATTTCTCTTAAAATGCCATATGAGAGCTGGGGGCCCCTATCTCAGTGGTAGAGTGAATGTGTACCATGTACAAGTCTCTAGGTTCAATTCCTAGCATTTTCAAATTAAAAACAAAAACAAAAACAGAAACAATAGTAACTACTTCCTCTACTATGTTAATAAGTAGAAATCTAAATTTAGTGTTTTTATAATCATTTGTATGTGACATAATCCATTATAGCCACTAAAAGCCTTTTCCTGTTCAGGCCAAAGGATTCGATTGACTGCAGTATCTTACTAGAATGATTGCATTCTGATAGCTTGGTAGCTTTGTACGCAAACTATCCTGAGTCAAGTAGGAGGAAACATTTTGTAACATGTGTTATCAGAAAAATTCAGATAACAAAATTTTTACAACAGACTTTAACTCTGTTATGGTTTAAAAATTAGTCTTGAGAAGAATTGTAAAAGGTATATATGTGTGTGTGTGTGTGTGTTTGGAATGTCAACTTAGTAATTCTAAGATTACATTCCCACTCAGCTAGGAATAAGATCACGGACCACATTTGTTCTGTGTCTTGTGTCGAGTCAGTGTTTAGTAAATAACTTTTGATAGATTTGATGAAAGATGTTATCCCTGGGTCAATTGAGTGTTCTTCATAAATTCAAAGGGATCCTCTTTTCCACTGCGTCTTCAAGAGAACTTCTTGATTCCTTGGATTCTTTTGATGCAAGAGAAGATGATGTGTTTCTGGTTTCCTACCCCAAATCTGGTGAGTTTATTTCAATACATTTTTTAATGTAGGAATGCAATAATAAGTAAAATAATCATTTTTGCTCAGCATTTATTTTTTGGAATTTTTCCACTGCTTACTTTAATGAAAAAATTTTGACATTAGAGATTTTTAAAATGTGCTTTGCAAAAGATTCAGTTGGAAAAAGTAAAGCTTTACAAATGCTTGTTTCTATTTTATTCGTGAGGACATATGCTGAAATTTATAGTAAGCATAAGATCTATAAAATTATAAAGTTCTGATCATAATTTGACCCACACATAGCAATAATTAAATAATACTTGTTCAATTTACACTTAATGATTGCTTTATAAATAACTGTTTTTCTTCTAAACTAGTAAGAGCCATCAATATTTGTAACATTAAAAAGATTTCACTTCAAAGTTTATTCCCACATGGAGTTGTAGATCCATGAAGGGATGGTTATTATGAATAATATCATTCTGTAAATTCTCAAAATGAGTTATATTATTTTTGCTTTGACAGCTGGCAAAGGTACATAACATCCCACTGCCTGTTGCTATTTCCAGACTAGTGACCATATAAAGAAGGCATATACCTGGTAGCACTAGTTCAGCAACTAAAAGCTGAGCTCCCCTTGAGTTGTGACTGTAGAAGAGTCACCATCTGAGGGCAAGAGGTCCTCCTTATCGGAAGATGTAGAGTTCACATAAGACCAGATATCCTAGGGTGATCATTCTGTTCTTTTTCCACATTTTTTAATTGGTGCATTATAGTTACACATACTGATGGGATTTGTTATTACATATTCATACATGCACACAGTATAACAATATAATTTAACAATATCATTCTTTAGCATTTCCTCACTCTCTCCCTGCCTCCCATCCTTTGGTCCCTTTACTTTACTGATCTTCCCAGTGTTAGCATTTTATTTTGGAAAACATTGCTGGAAAGAAAAATTAAATGATTGACTCCAGAATATGTCAGAGTAAAGTTGGAATATAATAAGTTGCTCTGTGAATATATGCAAATTGTCTTAGGTTGATATATTAGTTTAGAAAGTAATCTATGATATTTTAAGTGTTCTTGGAACTGGACATGCACACCTATAATCCCAGTGACACTGGATGCTGAGGCAAAAGGACAAGTTCATTTTTGTAATACCAAAAACAAAACAAAACAATCAAACAAAAAAACAACACTAAACTAAAGCCGAAACAGACAAACAAAGATTTGGGGATATAGCTCAGTGGACGAGCACCCTTGGGTTCAATCCCTAGTACCTCACCAAACAAACAAGATGGGCCTAAATGTTCTCACAGTAAGTGGCTAACTTACACCATAAGCAAACATATATTGACTTCCACTGGACATAGTGGAGCCTACATGGTGACATCCCCTGCCATCTAAGGCATCAGCTGCCAGAGGTCCATCTGGTAGCACAGAGTCATTTATATTCCCTCTCTTTCATCAAAACAAATCAATATGTTTTGTTAAAATAGTCCAAATATCCTTACAATTTAAGTCACATTTGTATGAATACTATAATTATAAATATTTAAGACTTATTACAAATTAAAATAGTCAATATTAAAACAATGCAAATGAAGGTACTATTTAAACTCTTTTCAACTGTAACTTTGTAAATACTGTATCTCATGAAAATTAAAGTGAGATAAATGAAGTTGAGGCTCGACTTAAACTCTTTATGGACATTGCTTTCAAGTTAGCAAACCCCACCCCACCCCACTGCAGATTTCTATTTCTCTGCTCCAATTTACTGTTGTCTATAGAGTGCATCCACCATTTGCTTTATGTCAATGTCAAGTTGTTTTCTTGGGCTGGACAGCTTGGTAGGAGAGCACTTGGCTAGTATATGCAAGGCCCTGGGTTCAATTCTCAGCACCAGGAAAAAATAAAACAACAGCAGCAACAACAACAATAAAACGGCTGATGTTGTATTCTTTCTGGATTCCACGATAGCTTGTATCTCTATGATGTTTGAATACAGCATGCATTCATTGTTCAAATGCTTTGTTGTTTGCACAAATATTGTGTAATCTGTACATAAAATGAAGGTTCATGGCTATCTGCAAGGAGGAAATGGAGAGGTAAACATGAATATGAGCAATGGCAACTATGCTGTGGTTGTGCTCTGACAGAGGTAGGAGCTGAGTACAGTGTGGGAGCCAGGAAGGGATGAGCAACTGTGCCATCGAGTGGGGACTCAGAGGTAGTTTATAGAGGACGAAGCTGCATGAGCTCACAGGATGAGTGGGAATTATGTATGGAAAGATGTGCATGACTTTGTGAATTGAAGGTTTCAGGAGTGATTGGTAACAGAAGAGCATTTTAGCCAAGGAAGCAACAAGTACAGTCTTCAAACCCTTTCACTCTTTAAAATGTGAATCTACTTGTGAAATGAATTAGCGTCTTCAGTGTTTCCTCAGGTTTTATGGGTGTGTAATGTGACTATTATAATAAAATTAATGCTTTCATTGCTTTTATCACATCCTAATTTTCTTTATTCATTTCATCAAGAGTGATATTTAATTAAAATTGGATTTTATTTTATCTCTGTGTAAAGGCACTCACTGGGTTGCAGAAGTCATTGAGAACATTCCCAATGCAAAAATAACTATAACATCTCCTATTGAATTGGGAGACATTTCTAAATTTGACGAGCTAAAAACGTATTCTAAGAGAAGAGTCATTCCTACCCATTTGAGCTATGACATGCTGCCGGTGGATATTAAACAAAAGCAATGCAAGGTAAGTTCTGTGGTTAGTGGCTGGGGCTTGGGAGTCTCACAAATCTGGGTTTGGATTCCTACTTTGTCATATGGCCCAGAAGTGGCACAGTCAATATTGCTTATATTTTAATTATTTTATCTATTATTTTTTGCAAAGTGTTATATAGGAAAGGAAAAACGCCTAATGTAATATGACGTTAGGATTGATGTATGTGTAAGGAACATTTTTAAAGTCTATTTTGATCAGAAAAAAGAAGAATGTTTGAAAAGCAAAGACAAAACCCATGTGACAGCTATAACACATTTCCAGAAACGAAAGCTTTTCAAACACTGTCAGTCATATTCTAAACATAAAAACAAAAGCAGCCTACCAGTCAAATGTGTATGCCTTAGAGCAGGTCTTCCCCGCCTGTAATTCCATGACCACAACACCTCTGTGCACAAATTAAAGGAAGCACAGTCAACTAGGGGCAAATGTCATAAAGCTTTGCCTTGACTGGCCCTCCCTCTCCAATCTGTCAGAACAGGAGAAAGTGAACTCACTTGATTCCATCTCACTCAACCAGACCTTCCAAAGAGACTCTTGCAAAGACAAAGGGAGAGAAAGGGAGAAAGGCAATGCTTTTCAAATATTCTTCTTTCTCCTGATGAAACAGACTGAAAATAGAAAGAGTGAGACAGAAAGAAAAGCAAAGATAGAGACAGAGAGGAGGGAAAGGAGAGAGAGAGATTCGAAGAGAAAAGGATTCAGATTAAACTCACTAACTTTAACTCAGGGTGGTGTGGTAACAAATGGCTACCAGATAGGAAGCTATATGTTTTGTGTACATCACAATAAGGACAAGTGAAGGTCACAGACCCTTCATAAGCAAGGACACTGAACCTCAGATAGCTTTGGGCACTTCGTATATGTACATACATATATATGTATATATGTACACATATACACACACATTAGTTGTAGTTGGACTCAATATCTTTATTTATTTATTTTTATGTGGTGCTGAGGATCGAACCCAGGGCCTTGACTGTGCTAGGTGAGCGCTCTACTGCTGAGCCAGCGCCCCAGCCCAACTTTGGGTGCTTCTTAACCACCACACTAAAGCCTTGAGGTGCAGCCCTTTCAGTGTGACCCTTATTGGGAGCTGAGCCTCCTCTTCCCTGGACTCATGAGAGGTTTCCCACAACTGTTAGTGAGGTTCAGCTCCTGAGGGCTTGGAGTTGGAGAAGCCTCCTTGCCCCAGCAGGGTCCTGGGACAGTAGATTCCTCCCTCACGTATTTCTCCCTGCTAGAGCTCAATCCTAGTTGCCTTCTCTATTTTCTCCTTAATCCTTATTTCTCCCTTTTTATGTTTCTAAACTCTTTGGCATAAAAGTTACGCTTTCTAGCTCATTTTATGTTGTTTTGTTTCATATTTGATTCCCCTCCAGAGTACTATTCTGCCTTCCCTTTATCTCCCCTAACCTCCTCCAGTAATTCTAATGTCTCTAGACTGCATTCTCTGACAAAATGTGTACTAATTAATGGGTTGCATTGTCTTTCCCAGTAGATAGTGCAGATGTATAACTTTGGGCGTTCTCCAGAAACCCTAAAAACGTTTGTTTTTACTAAAATGAATATGTCCAACTGAATGACTGAGGCTTAAATTCTGACACTTTATCCCTTTTTGTTAAGGCAGTGGGTTTTTATAACTGTTCTGTGAGCCTTAGGGTTCTATGAATCTGCTCAGGAGAAGTCAGACAGGCCTAATGGGTTAGGTTACTCTGAAAGCATTTCTTGGGATGTAGAGAGAATACTGGGTGGGGTGGGGGTAAAGGTGACTCTTCATTCCTGTACACAGCGACCTTTATACATCCCCTCAATTAAAGAAGAACAGACACTGTTCATGTGGACCCACAATACCTGGACTATGAACAGGATAGTTACGTTGAACAGGATAGTTACGTATGCATAATGACTCAGCTAACTCTTTTAATCTGAGCAAAATGTGTCTACCCTGATTGTCATTTTAAAAGTAAGTGGAACATCTTGTACCCTCAACTCATCGTGCAATATTGACTATGATTGAAAATGCTCCTAGTAAATCCAGCTTCCTATCCTGGTGTCCTGAGGCCTCTTATATAGTCGTATGTACTCTACACACCTTGTTATAACTCTTACAACATTGTATTGTCAAGTGTATTTAATCATAGACTTCCCGCTCCTGACTGTAAGTTTTGAGAGGGCTAGAATCCTTTCTGTTTATTGTTATATTCTTTGGATTTCTTTCTTTCTTCTTCTTCTTTTTTTTTTTTCTTTTTCTTTTTTGGTTCTGGAGATTTAACCCAGAGGTGCTTTACCACTGAGCGACATCCCCAGCCCTGTTTGGTTTTTTTTTTTTTTTTTTGAGACAGAGTCTCAATAAGTTGCTTAGGGTCTTACTAAATTGCTGAGGCTGACCTTGAACTTGCAATCCTACCTTAGCCTCCCAAGCCTCTGGGATTATACAGGCATATGCCACCATACCTGGCTCATTATATTCTTTGGACTGAGGAAATCTCACATTACTTGGTACACAGTAGGTACTAAATAAATATTTATTGAATTGAATTAAACTGCATTTGCAGTGTTCATGGACATTGGGAGGCTCCCTCAATGTTCCCTACTCTTGGGGGGATTAAATCGTAGAAAAAAGAAATTCTAAAACAGTATTTTTTTTCTTTCAATAATAACAGACAATTTGTAAGAAATCTTACTATCTGGAAATCAGTCTTATGTGGATAACTAAAAGGTAATTTTGTCTCACAAATGAATAAATTTATATTTTCCCATGTCTTCCCCCAAAAGATAGGACCAAATTTAGCACATAAATGTAGAAAGTGTGGTTGGTAGACTGGCAGTATCAACATCAGCTGGGAGCTTGTTAAAAGTACAATATACCAGGCCTCTCCTTGACCTCCTGAATCAAAATCTGCATTTTAACAAGATCCTCTAATGACTCCTCTGCACATTAAATTTTGAGAGATATTAGCCTAAGACAGTATTTAATCATTAGCAAAAGCTATCCCCCTCCAAAAATAATAACAAAATACTAATAATCAGGATTTGCACAGGTAAGTTTAGTTGCTGTTTTCTTTCAGCAAATAGTTTGTACTGGGTTATTTAAGAATAAATTGGTTTTTTAAACAGGTTATCTACATCATTAGAAATCCAAAAGATACAGCTGTCTCACTCTTCCACTACTACAGAGATAACCCCAATCTCCCTTACATTGAAACATGGGCTGAATTTTTGGAGCTGTTCCTCAGAGGAGATGGTAAATATAACAATGATTTTAATATTCATAACATACAGTGAACTTTCTCACTGAAAATGAAAGCATTTTTCCAAGAGTTTAAATGGATCCTAACTGCCTATTTTCAGAACTGTGCTGAAAAGATAATTCTTTCATTTCTTCTAAACAAATTCTTTCTTTCTTTACTTCTCTACAGTCTCTCTTATCTCCTAAGGGAGTAATGTATTGGTGATTATTTATTGAGCTGATTTGAGTGTTTTCTAAACAGATTAATTCTATATAAGCAACACCCCCAACCCACCCCATACACCAGTAGTCTTTCTCTTTTTTTTGGTGAAATAATTATGAAGATAGGAAGCCTGAAATACCTTATATATACCTGCCTAGGGGGGAAAAACCTGAAACAACAAAAAGTATACTCATATTTTCCCCAAATAAACCAATAAACAAATTGTGAGAGAACTGATTTCATGAAAACTAACAGCCATTTATCTTGAAAAACCACCATGAAACATGATTGAGCTGCACGGTGCACATTGGTTCTGCCACCACAAGACCTTTGAATTTATTCCTCTCCCCTGGACTTAGTGGTGTCTGAAGCACTTAAAAAACAAACGAACGAACGAACAACTATTCTGAATTCCCAAACACATGTTAAGCCAAAATAATAGACCAAGGCACTGTAGACTTTTAAGAGACGTGAGTTAGAAAGGGTGAGTCTTCAGAGAGCCCTCTCTCTTCCTGGAGGTAGGGTAGGTCTTCTTTAATAGCTAATTTCCCTAGCAAATTTTTCAGCCTTTAGTTTTAGAGAGGGCTAGGTAATTGTAGCCTTAATCCCTGGCTTCACATAGTACTTTTTTTTTCTTTGTTTCACTCCATATTGTATGGAAGAATATGTTCTGCTCACAGTATTTCCTCTTTCTGATCTGCTTTTCCTGCTTAGCTAATGGCACAGATTTAATGGAATCATGTTGCAGGAATGACAGGTACTTATCTGGTCCAAATACCCACCTGATTTTTAATCACCCTTATGACATCCACAAGAATTGTATAAGTAAAGCTTAAACATCCTAACCCTGGCAACAGGTTCGCCAACCCAACACTCTGCATTTCCTCTTGGCACTTCTCAGATGTTTTCGGGTTTTTTTGCTTGTTTGTTTGTTTTTTCTTACCATTTACTGTGTGCTTACCATGTGATACACTTAGGTAAGTGCTATGCAAACATTCTCTCCTTTCATCCCCACCAGACACCCTACGAGGTAGCTGTTATTATCCTCATTTTACAACTGAAGAGAAAGCAAACCCTGAGAAGCCAAGCAATTTGTTCACAGATGCATAACTAATAAGGAGCAAAGCCCGGGTTAATTTCAGGCATTTGCTCCAAAATCTTTACCCTTAACCATTGTTTCATTTGTTCAGGAGAGAAAAAAACTACCCCTGATCATAAATTCCTCTTGTACATGATAGCCTTCTAAATATTTGAAGATAGTTGACATGCCTCACTTCACCTCAATTCCATTTTTGGAATAAGCAGAGTTTAAATACATGACTTTTTTTTTTTCCCAGAACAGACTTGGAGTCTGCTTTTCCTCGAGACAAGAAATGCTGTTTTTGTCTGCCATTCTCACACACTGGGGTTCCCAATCCTTTCCACTGCATCATCTCTAATTTGGCCACTCTACCATTATGCAGTTTCCAGAAAGCAAGTATACTTTAGGTGTGATCTGGTGAGGACAGGGTGGAGCAGGTCTAGCACTATTCCTATTCTAGAAGTTATTTTTCTATCCATGTAACCACAAACATGCCAGCCCAGGCCAGAGTACAGTGAGGCTATCTGGCCCTAGTGGAGTATCCAGGAGGGACAGAGTATAGTTGGAAAAAGTATTCCAGATGATTCTCTGGCACCTTCTGGGGTGAATGAACAGATTTTTAGTTGTAAAGGGATTTTATCTGTAAACATTCTACAACTGGGTGATTCAGCCTAGGCAAACCCTCTCACCAACAGAAGCACAGAGTTGTTTTTTAAAAAATCTATTGGTTTGGGTACAAGTAGCTTCTGTTTTTACTATTTGTAAGTCATGGTTGTTCGTGTTCATATGCAGGTGTATTATATGTATGAGACTATTTTTTTTTTCAGGGATGTTCTTTAGAAACTCTTTGAAGGGAAGATTATTTCTCTTACCATGGTGTAGTAGGTGACAGAGGCAGAAGACCTGGCATCAAGTTCTGACTATATTTCCTGTGTGGCTTTGGATTAGTAGCATAACTTTTCTGAGGTCTATACTTTAATATAAAAAGAAGGATAATCAAATGATCTATTTTGTAAGATTATTTAGGTTCAATTTAAATAATGTGTGAAATGTGCTGTAGAAATCTACTCGTGCATTCTTTCAGAAGGTATTTAAAGAGTTTCACATTGCCGGGCCTGGTGGCACAAACCTGCAATCCCTGGGGCTTGGGATGCTGAGGCAGGAGGATAACAAACTCAAAGCCAGACTCAGAAACTTAGTGAGACCTTAAGCAACTTAATGAGGCCTTGTCTTAAAATTAAAAATATAAAGGCTGGGGATGTGGTTCTGGGCTCTGATTAAGCGCTGCTGGGTTCAATCTCTGGTACCAAAAAAAAAAAAAAAAAAGATTATGATGAAGAAAGAATGAAAGTAAGTTTCACATTAAGGCAGAGCTGTTGTTAAGTAAGAATTTATCTAAAGAGGTTATTTTATAACTGAGGAGTTATGATATCCTGTATCTATCCCTAAATATAGACATGGATTTTAGTTATATAATGTGATATTAAAGAGACATATTAGACATGTATCTAATCATCTAATATGCCTTTCAGATAGCACATAAATCCATTTTAGCTTTTCAAGTTAAACAATAACTAGAAATTGTGTTCTGGTAAAACCATAGCAGATTAATAATCTCAATAAAATTAATGCCTTAGCATTCAGCTCTTTTTTCTCCTCACAGCCTTCTCTCCGGTCTTATATCGATACTCTGTTTCCTAGGCCACTTCATCCCAGAGAGTTTTGTTTTTCTTCACAAATACTTTATCTTCTGAGATCTTCCTAGAAACTAGAAACCAAGACATTCATTATAACTGGAGTAGAGGCACAAGGCTTGCAGAAAGTGTGGCAGGATCGAAAAGGCTGCTGGGAAGAATGGAATGTTAATGTAGGACAAGTGGCTTGCTTAGGGAGCCTTGGAGCCCTAAGGTTGGAAACAGGAACTTGCAGTGATGCAAATACTGACTTGTATGCATTTCTCGAGCAGCTCTCAGCAAAAATGAGAGAGAAGAAAGAAGTTGAAGTGTTTTGATTCAATTCTGGGTGTTTATTTTTTCCTAATTGTTCTAAATAAGCATTAAGGCAACAAGGAAACTGAAGAGATAGGCAAGAAAACAGAGGAAGAGAATGAAGATAGAAAGGGATAAAATATTCAGAGTAGGGCACGGGAGGAACTGTCCATTTAGTCACTCGAAAAGATGGCAAGAACTGAGAGGACCCAGAGACTGTGACCTGTTAGGAAGAGCCTTCAGTGACTTTAGGAGAGAGAACAGGTTGATTTATGATTGAGATAAGGAGGGAAGGAATGATTTATTGAAATGAGTCTCAAAGAAGCATGGATTCAATAGGAAGGAGGAATTCTGGAATTTTCTAGGAGGCCAAATGGCTCACTCCCCAGACCCTAAGACACATGGGTTGAATTAGAATAAACTTGTCTTCTCAGGGACATTTGGTGAAAGAGTTTTAGATAGCAAAGGGCAGGCCCTGCAGGCAAATATTAAAGCCAGGAGGTAGTAGGATAATTCTGAAATTAAATGCAGGACATGGAAAAAAGAGTCTTCCATAAAAGAAAGATTTCAAACCTCTATTTTGAAAGCTGATTTTTTTTTTTAGAGCTAAGATCAATTAATGACCTGGATAATTAAATGATTCTGATTTTAAAAATTAACCCAAACTTTAAGTTTTTTAGCCTATCAAAAACATTTTTCAGATATAGTACTAACACACTTTCCTGTGTTGGTGAAGAAGGAGCAGGCTGCCAACTTTTTTCATTTTTATCTGACTAAAGTCCTTTTGGAACATGGTGGGGCATAAATCAATTGGTCAACAATGAAACAGCTGGCTTTCAAATTGTGATCAAGCTATGCTGCAACATCTATTCTTAAATGTATTCCGAGGCATGTTGCAATACATTTCCTATGAAAAAACCATAGTGAGCAAAGTCAATTACACCTAATGGTGAATAAAACTCTGGGTCTGTCTTTGCCCAGCCTCCTAGCTGCTGAAGCTCAGCTTCCCTGTCCTGTAGTATAAAGGAGTCCCTGGACATCAACAACTCCAGCGTGATGTCACCTGGAGCATGTGGGTGTGGGAACTGGCAGGGCAGGTTGTGTCCATGATGTGGTCTAAGGCACCAGTGACTATAGTAGTTAACTTCCTAAATTTGCATAAGAGAAAATCAGTCTTCTTCCTACTAGGTGTTTGCTTCTGGGAAAAGAATGACCATTCTTAGAAGAGGTATCCCTTATCACTGAAGTGGTACTTTGGGTAATTTAGTAAGAGGTGTTTCGCAAGTCACTGAAACTGCTAGAGACTGCTGATAAGTAAAAGGTGTGTCCAGGAAGCTCTCTGAGGAGCTTACTGTAAACCCTGTGGGTCCCCGGGGTAGCAGGCTGACTCTTTGATGACATCACAGTAGTCCTGGAAATTCTTGTTTTAAAAATACACATGGTTATTTTCTGTTCTTTGTTTCCTCAAAAGCTGAAGCCATGAAAAATTGCACTTAGTTTGGAGTTAATTATACTTCGATTTATTCAAAGCTTTAATGTTCAAAAGCAAATGTCTGGCAGACACTAATGGCTTAATAAATGTTTATTCAATGAATCAAAAGTCAGCAGATCTTCAGGAAAGCAGTAGAGCAGCTCTTTTATACTTCTGGTATTAGCCAGAATTTAAATATTGATTGGTAAGGATACATGGAAGAATGTATATGCAGTATTTTAAATTACTATGTTTTATGCATTATGCTTCAAACTAGTTGACTTCATGAAATGAAATAAATAAATTTTATTTTTAATCACCATTGTCAAAAAGGTTATTATGCATCATAATATTTTGCGTTTAAACCCTTGGAGTTTTTTTTTCCAAGGCTGTTAGTTAATAACAACAACAAAGAGGTCATATCAACTAAAGATAAACCTCCAAGGCTGATTTTTCAGTCTTGAACTAACATGTGAATAGAATCTTTTTTAAAGTTAATTTTATTTTTTTTGTTCAAATTAATTTTAACTGATACATAAAAACATAATCATAAGAATTTTTTTAAAAAGAAGTTTGTAAATATTTTTGGAAAAAAACTATAATTATGAAAACATGTAAAGTGGGAATAAATTCTCATTGTTTCTATATTTCTCCCAAGAACCAAAATGGTGATCAAAAAACTATCTTGAGAAAATGTGTATCTGTATTTCTGCTCCTTCTTTCCCTGATGGTAAAAAAAAAAAAAAAAAAAAAAATGTTTTCTAGAAATAAGGAAAAAAAAAAGCACCAAAGACTTATTAAAAGATGTGGCCATCCAGCATCATATCATAGAATTATATTTGTCAAAATAATAGTGAAATCAAGCTCTTCTAAGGAAAAGTCTTACTCCAGAGACTGATAAGTACATGCTTCACTTTAACTGCTTCATAAGGGAAAACCCCATGAATGCAAAGACACAATTTTTAATACTACCACAACAATTCACTTTTTTTTTCCAGTTGTGTATGGATCCTGGTTTGATCATGTTTTAAGCTGGGAAGAGCACAAAAATGATAATGTTCTAATTATATTCTATGAAGAAATGAAGAAAGTAAGTCTTCCCTAATGTTTCAGTAATCAAAATTTAAATCAAATTAAGTTAAAACAAGAAGTCAATCAATTGAATTCTGCTTTTTAGGTTTTAGGGAATGAATTTTGTGTTTTGACAAGACTTACATACTTAATTTGTTTTTAAATTTTGCTTATTGCTCAGGATTTTTTTAAAAGTTTAAAGAAAATAACTACTTTCCTTGATATGCATGTGAATGACAGTGAAATTAATAACATTGCTTGGAAAACATCCTTCAGTGAAATGAAAAATAATACAGTCAAAGAAAGCCATGATCCAAATCATACCATCTGTGCCCTCACATCTGAGAGGAACCTAGTATTTAGAAAAGGTAAGCCAGAAGGAGATGTGGTAACTCATCTGTCTTTGGAAGTACAGTTGACCCTCCATATGTGCATCTTCCTCATCAGTGAATTAAGCCTATAGCAGATGAAAATATTTGAAAAAAAATTTCAACTGTACTGTATGTGTGTAGACTTGTCATTATTTCCTTAACAACTGGGTATAACAACTATTTAGAGAGCATTTACATTGTACTGGGTATGCCTAGAGAGGATTTAAAGTGCAAGGAAGGATGTGCATAGATAGGTTATATGCAAACACTATGCCATTTGATATAAGGGATATCTCGTGAGGATTTGGGTATTTTGGGGATGTCCTAGAACCAATCCCCCCTGGGACAACCAAGGGACAACTGCAGTTCCATTTTTAATCTTCCATTTTACCTTTCCATTTCTTGTGTAATATATTGCACATTGTCACCCTTTGGTGAATGTTTATTAAATAAGATTGTTGAATTGTGTTATTTCCAGAGTTGAGATGTCAATGCCTGTTCAGGAGTCAACTGAAAGATAGACATAGGAGTTAAACAGATGGAAATAATAAAGCTCTTTGAAGAATGTGCCTCAGGTCTGCAGCCTAGTGCATTTGCTGACAATTTACCCTGAATTATATAAACATATGCACTTAGTTACAGCCCATCAAGGGCCATTCTTTCCATTCCCCAGGCAAGGTGCTGGAGCATGGTGGTGATCGAACACACCAGTCTTAAGTGAAAAGAGTTCATGAGTGTGGATGGTATGTTTCCCCAGATACCAACCAGGCAACTCATCCTTCAGAAGTAAGGAAGGAGTAGGGAGAGAAGCTGGGATTGTTAATCAAGGATGGTCCTCTGCCTGGAAACACAAAGAGAAGAAAATACATCTTCTCCACTAGTTCTTCAGGTTTAAGTTAAGAGCAAGTGTGGGTACATCTGGATATAGAACTGTTTTGAAGTCTGTGTGATTTTTATCCAGATATAGGGGGAACCAGGTGAATATCTGGTGAGATGGGAGGTGAAAAGGGGGTACGGGAACTAAGGGCCCCTCTTCTAAGAGGTTTGAGAATAGAGGGTAGGAGGAAGGGGATGTGGGGCTTGAGAGAAAGGCAGGAATAAGTAAAAGATTAGGAGGGGTTGAGAGAAGAGGTGAAATAAAGACAGCAGAACTTAGAAAAAGATCCACATAAGGAAGGCAAAATAAGCAAAGAGAAGGGAAACCAACAACCAACAACAACAACAAAAAAAAAAAAAGGAGACAGATCGTGGTAAAGAGGAAAGTGAGAAATGAGGAAGTTCTGATATTTAGTGGTGAACAGTGTTTAATTACTACCCTCTGAGATTCTGATTAGCAAAATAATCAATATTCTCACATCTTATCCTACAAACATGTGAAATATTACTGTAATGGGAAAGGAATTATTCTCTGACCTGCCAGGCTAGTAACCCTCGCAGATATCCTGTATGAAATCAGTTCACTTATCACTGTAGCTAACAACATTAATTCTAAAGCATTTAAATTCAGTGTTAAAAGTGTTTCCTTGTGTTGCTCTAAGCACAGAAGGTTAACAGTGGGAACCTCCTCACTGATACTGTCACCAGGAGGGCCTGTCGGTAGATCTGTTGTACACAAGGAATTAAACACAAGGAGGGCCCAGCAGTAGTGCACTTGGCTCCTGCCACCGGGTGGATGAGGTGGGAGTTGAGGATCTATCCTTCAGAAATGCTCACTGCAGGGAAACTGCTCAAGTCACTGACTTAGACTCCTTGGCACACAGAGAAAGTCTTCACTTTACAGAGGAGAATTTGTCCCTGCAGTTGTCTTTACTTTGATATCCCAAATTAGAGTGATGTTCTAGGAAATGACGAGGTAGTCATGGAGATGACAAGTAGTGATCCCAGTGTCCCAAGTCCAATGACCTGCACATACTCAAAGTTCCAGGAGAATTATGGGAGTGTGGAAAGATGTATGGCCAGGAGGCAGGCTGCAGTATTGCCCATGACAATGAAAATCTAGAAAGCACTGAAACGGACACTGATCAGAAATTTAGTTACATGCATATAGGAATTTACTATGGTGTATGAAAATTACAGAAAATTATGCAGGCAAAAGTAGGATTTATTGAGTGCTTACTATGTGCCAAGCACATTACTTGGTTTATCTTTCTTATACTTGACAATAAACTTGAGGATTATATTCATGTTAACCCTTGTACAGAGACATCAAGTACCTGAATAACTTTTCAAAGTCATGGAACTAAAAGACAGTAAAGTCAAGACTTGAATTCAATCAATCAAATTTATTTGAGGTTTCTTTTCCTTAACTGAAAGTTCATCAGTTTTGCTTATCTTTTCAAAAAACCAACTCTTAATTTTGTTAATTTTTTTGGTTTTCTCTATTTCATTTATTTCTGCTTTCATCTTTATTATTTTTTCCCTTGTTCTAGCTTTGAGCTTGGTTTTTTTTTTTTCCCTTTTTTTTCTAGTTAGTTGAAGTGCAAAGTTAGGTTGTTTATTTGAGATACTTCTTTTTCAGTATAGGTGTTTGCCATTATAAATTTCCCTCTTTGTTTTGTTTCTACTGTATTATCTAAGTTTTTGGTGCCGTAGTTTTGTTTTTTGTTTCAAAACATTTTCCAATTTCCCTTTAAGTTTTTGATTGATCGTCTTGTTCTATGCAACCATAATTTTACTGTGCGAGTATGCATACTAACATGGAAGATGATCAAAGTATAACATGTGAAGTAAAAGCAGGTTATGATGTTGTGATTTTTAAATACAGTTTACATGAATATCTATGCTTGCAAAGAAAAACATCTGGGAGAATGCAGGTCAGCATATACCGTGTTAGCTGAGCGTATTTCCTTGATTTTTTTTAACCTTCTTTGCTCGTATGTATTTTCTTAACCTACATATATAATTACTATATTATTTTTAGAATTTTTTTCCTTAACAAAAGAAAAAAAGGAAGTCCAAAGAACAAATCAGAAATTAGAAACAAGACAAGCAAACAAAAGTCATATTAAATGAAGATTAAAATAGTGATCCAGAGGAGCTGACACTGAGGCTGGAAGGGAAAACCAGAAAAAGACCAAAGGATATTGGTTGTTCGGTAACAATAATATTGCTCTTCCATGGGCCAGGCATACTGATCTCATGGAGCTGGCCTTGTGTCCAAGTTGGTGTGCCTTAGAGGCAGTGTCGTCAGTGTCATTTCCTGATTGAGATCTTCCTTCTGGTACTACTCTCCTTTCCATCTCCTACCCCCACCCTACTGACAATACAAGAATTTCTCTCTGCTCCTTCTTGAACTCAATTTTTGAGGCAATAATTCACAACATCAGAAATTCCTAGGTTGTTTTCTGTTGCTTTGCTGTAGGTGTAGGTGACATTATTTGGCATTCGATTAAGCTGCAGGCTGTTTATTGAACACCCACTCACTAGAAACAGCTCAGCATTGAATCAGGAACTATAGGATTACACACAAATGATACATCACAGTCCCTAACCTAAGCTAATGGGAAAGAAAACATAGTATAAAGCAATTAGAAATGTTGGGATAAAATGATATTTCATTGGCTTCAATACCTGGAGATCCCAGAAGTGCAGCTTGAAGCCAGAAAACCATTGTGTGCAAGATTCAGGATTGGGCTGTGTCACAGGGGGCATAAGAGAGGTGAGAAAGGCAGTTTTGAGGGGACCCTCTTGTGGCCACGCTGAGAAAGGTATTTTGTATGATCAGGAGAGGCTCAGGGACATTGTGAGGTATATACCGTATCTCCAGATATCTTATATTGGAACTCGATGTTTATGTTTCTAATTATCCATTATTCACTTTGTAAAATAGGTTTCCTTAAAATGAGACAAATTACCCACCCACACACACATATTCTGCTATCTAGGTGCCCAGGTAGGGAAATAAGTTAAATGTTCTTATGCCCACATTGTCTGATGTAGTTTTGTTACATTTAGATTAGAAACTTCTTTGCCTGCTAGAGTAAAACCTTATGATGTTTAAGTATTTTCAATCTCTCTTTCCTTTTAAGAAGTAACTTCTTAAACTGTAAAAAATTAATATGCAACCTTTGCAGAATAAATTAGAAACAACAGATAAGCAAAAGAAAAATAATCCCACATAATCTTATCATGAAGGAATACCAAATGTTCACATTTTATTATAAATCGAACAGATTTCTTTTGTGAATACTATACATTTAAATTGGTTCTTGTCTGATACATTTCCAATTTTTGCAGGAGTGGTGGGTGATTGGATAAACTACTTTACTTCAAAGCAGAAGAGAGTATTTGATGAACTATTCACAGAGAAAATGAAACACAGTGAACTGGCAAGACGCTTGAAGGAGTACTCTTAGTACAAATGGGAAATGAAACCAATTTCATTTTATGCAGTGCTGAGCTTGGGGAATGTGTAAATATTTTTCACCAATGTAGAAAGCCAATATTTCTTTCAGTGAGAAACATATACTTCATGAATGTGTCAAAAGTGTCCTGTGTGAGAGACTGTTATTATATTCGGTGATAGCAAGGAATTATTAGTAAAAGGAAGTATAACATTTTTGAATGGCTGAATTATATACCTATTTCCAGGATATTCAGTAAGGCAAGGAATTACTTCTATTCAGAGAGAGCATATTACTGTGGTGTTCTACAAGCTGCAGTAATGTACAACAAAAGAAGCGAGGGATTATCTAAAATAACAGATGTCTGAGAAGAATTTATTTTCTGCCTATTTGGACAATCATGACCAACACTTTTATTTCAACATTCTCTGGTGTCTGTGTAGAAATATTCTCCAATGTCATAATCATGACAAACATAATCTTACTAAGGTGGAATCTCCTAATACTTGAGCATAATCAAATGACCACGTTCCGATATATTGGGAAAAGTAAAGAATGAACAGATAACACTTTCACATTAATATTGGCTTAGTATTTTAGTATTTTCTTTATCTTGATTCAGTTAGTTTAAAAAATTTCTTATTTTCCATTTTAAAAAGTATAATTTTCATTGAATGTTTATGATTCTTTGTAGTATTTTGAATATTTATGCTTTCATTCTGAATCATTTTTAACATCAATTCAATCTGTATAATTCTCTCTATCCTATAATGAGTATTATTCTATAGGTTTATCCCAAAGGACATTATAATGGAATTTCAGTGAACTTATTTTAAGATTATTTATCACCTACGTGACAACATATAAATTATGTCATGTTGTTTATATCTGTCAAAATATCTAACTCACAGCTTAATGGCAAATAAAAGTATATATTGTATATGACATTGAGCTTTGAACTCAAAGGAATGGGTTGACTTAATTTAACCATCATTTGATTCTGTATCTTAGTGTATTATAAACTTACATAAATCATCAGTCACAAATCTGTTGGAGTCTTTTGTGTCAAGTTTATTTTGTAAGAAATTAAATCTTCATAAACCTTGTGTATACACATTTGTTACAAATAAAATCTATTTTCTTTTTACTTCATGCATGCAATTTTTTTCCTCCAAAATTAGCATTCCTAGAGATTTACTGAGATACTTCCCTTCCTCAAATGAATGAGGTTAGAGAATGACAGGAGCAATCAGGGGTCATCTTTCTTCGTTAGCTTCATCTTCATAGTGGAGCTGAAATCCCTCCTGATATTGATGGCCAGGGAATGACAAAGCCATAAGACAGCCACAGAGATCTAATGAGGCTGGAAATTCAAGAAAATAATGACTGTAGGGTTGGAGGAACCAAATCCTGTGAGACAATATCCCTTCTCATTTCATGAAAATGATTGTTGAAGTCAAGAGAACTGAAGAAAGACTGTATTTGATTGTATTTCAGATCTGTAAGGTAAATCAAGGTGGACTGATCCTGAAATTCAAAGCCTACAGAAAATGTAGATGCTGATTATTGCTTGGCTTACTTCTCTTAAAACATTTTATTATTCCTAACTGTATCTGATGAAAATTAGCCTTAGCCATTCCCTTTACGTTTTCTTCTTCTTCTTTTTTTAAAAATATTTTTTAGTTGTTGATGTACCTTTATTTATTTATTTATTTATATGTGGTGCTGAGGATTGAACCGAGTGCCTCACACATGCTAGGCAAGTGCTCTGCCACTGAGCCACCACCCCATCTCCCCTTTACATTTTCATAAAAGGATTTTAATAACCAGATTTAAAATCCCTTTCCTGGCTAATGTTTCCAGGAAGAAAGTTTAGAAAAATTACCTTGTCAAAGCTTATTCTGTATCCATGAGTTCAATACTACTAAGAAACAACACCCAAGAATTGTGTCTTGGTGCCCACAAATATAACAAACTGTCAGTGTTTTTTTTTTTTTATTAAGAGACGACTAAAATATCCTTAAGTGATCACTTATTTTTTCTATTACCTGCTATAAATATCAGATGTAATCACACACCTACTCAACAGACTGACACACCCAGTGAGATTGCCTTCCTCTTTAACTTACATCAACCTGCTGTGTGCTTCTGCTCCTGTAGGCTTAGAGAATATAAAAATACACTCTGGTAAGTTCTTTCAAGTTCTACTGCACGTACTTTGCCCTTTTCCTGGACCATTACCCAGAGAGAAGAAGCAGTCACCAGTCAAGGTAGCCAGGTGGCTAAATCAATGCCTACAATCCTGGAGGCCTGGGGCAGGCCAATTGCCCTGAAATCCTCGCCCACTGGGGTTTTTCCCTTTTTGGAAATTCTGGATCTCTTCCCCTGAACTCTGACCTACTCCTTTGTTTTCTTACCTCCTTGGATCTTACAAAACAATGTAATATGCATTTCTGCATCCAAACTGCCTCCCACCATCCTGCTATTGATTCCCTCTCTTACTTATTTTTCTCTTTTTCCTTCATTCCTCTGCTCTACTTTTGCAGTCAATGAGTAAAAGCCAAATCCTAAAGATTTTTCTAGGGTTTCATCAGACAGTACTTTCTTACTTCCCAGCATTTGTTGGTACCTTAAAGGTATTTCTCTCCATGATCTTTCAGCTTTCTGAAAGCCTGCTCTGTTAATCCCTGCTCCTTGCTCTCATTATTTTTTTCATTTCCCTTTATTGACTCTCCAATGACTCTTCATTTGTATTTTACTTCCCACTCAATCATTCCAGCCTCATGTGATTAAGTAAACATCCATCTCCCACTCTGGTTTGTAAAGTTCTTGCTAATTAGAGTCATTACCCTATTTATTTTTGTCTCTTCCACCAGGCCCAGCCCAGTAAAGCACTCATAATAGATGTTTAACAAATATTGGTTGTGAGTTGAGTTCATGGGCAAGCTTAAATTCTTCATCTTCTAGAAAACTCAGTTCCAATACTGCAACCCACATGGATCCTATTTTTGTATTCTCCTAGTACTTTGTGTCTGCATTAGTCAATTCTTTTTTTTTTAACCTAATCATATATTCCCTTCCATTATTGCTTAAAATGTTTCACACTATGCAAGACTTTTCTTTCCAATTTTATTGTAAACTTACAGGATGCTTCTTCAGGGACTGAAGGATTGTATTGACCACAGAAATTTTTCACTAATTGTGTATTGAATGGAAGAATGAATGAATGATTTAAAGGATGAATGGACACATTCCTGTCTCTCATGGACTGGCTCAGCTTGCTGGTCCTGTGAGCATGAATGTATTTAATTCTCTGCTTTTCTTCCACTTTCCAGATAAAACTAATTATAGTACACCATTGATTCTTGCTTTTCAACATCTCTAAATCCATTCTTTTGTAAAAAATTAAATTTATTTTTAATTGGTATCTATCATATTGGTACCTATTAGTAGGGTACCATGTGATGTTTTTATACATGTTTATATTATTATCAGATTAAAGGCATCTGTTTCCTCAAGCATTTTTCACATCTGCATGGCAAAACAAACAAACAAACAAAAAAACAAGAAACAATTACCAAAAAAAATTCAAATTCTTTCTTCCAGTTTTTTGAGAGAAACACTTTACAATTACTATATATAATAACTATCTCAATCCAATCTGAGTATAACAAAACACCTTACCAATTCTCCTTCAAACAAAAAGGAAAGATCAATTAAAAATTATAAGAAGAGCATGTGTTTACCACCTATAGGGTAAATAGATCCAATGGAGAGGTCTATAGGGTTCACACAGTGTATATGTATTTGTGTTTCTTTTCTCAGAAATTTCTTCTTGTATCATGTAAGACTATTAAATGGAAACATTTTCACACATTCATAACTCCCAGCTAAAGTCAGGGAACTGAAAATCAGTGTCAAGGGGGAATAATGTTGTATTTAAATAATGCTCATTATTTATTTTTACTCTAGTTTAATAAAAAGATTATTGGCCCTTTTTTTAGATCCACAGGTAAGGACCTACATTGAATCTGCTAAGAGTCAACAGAGAGTTAGTTGGAAACAACCCTTATGGCTATTTTGGATGAATAGCCATGCGACACGTAAGTCAAGGAGTCAGCAATCCAGCTAGCCCACAGTAGCTAATTAGAAAACTAATTACAGGCAAACACTGTGCTCCATTTAGATAAACCCAGTTTGGATTATTACTCTTCCAAAGTATGAAGAATGTACTCTCAAGCTATAACTAAACAGATCTGTGTAAATAAATGTGAGAAAATATTTTGGTTTGCTATATGATCTTTAGTAGTTTAAAATCTTCATCCCAATTACTAGATGGTTATGAGGATCTACTAATCCTCAACTGTTAACTAGATGTTGTTACCATTATCTCTGTGATGAAAAGGAAATTCTCAGGTTGTAGTTAATAACAAGAGTATGATTCTGAGCCAATTTATAGGTATAATAAATATATGTGTGTATATGTATATTTCTAAAATGTGACTTTGTCCAATTCAATGTGCTATGTATTGTAGTATATTAATGTACATCAAATTTACTCATATAGGGATGAGAACTTATAGCTCTTTAGATGTTCTGCATTATTTAGATTGTACCTTCATTATGTGAAGATTCCTAGTCACCAGGATCTGTATAAATGACAGCTGAGGGCTGGAATTGTGGCTCAGTGGTAGAGCACTTGCCTAGCATGTGTGAGGCACTGGGTTTGATCCTCAGTACCGCAGATAAATAAATGAATACAATAAAGGTCTATCAACATCTAACATAAAAATATTTTTTAAAAAAAGACAACTGAGGGAAGACTGAGGCAGGCAAGGAGAGAGTACTCTTCTGATGAGTAGTCAGCTTTTAGGGAAAGAGGGCAATTACTCTTTGAGTAATTGCTCAAAGAAAATTTTAATTAAAATAAATTAGTGTGACCAGCTAAATCTTGCTAGGTAGTGCTGGAAAATGATATACAGAAGTTCATTCACTTCAGACAGAAATATTTTTTTAAATCTTCAGATAAATATTCCAAAAATATTACCCATATTAATCTGACAATTCAATCTCTCATTTCATTCTTCTTCTGTTTATATAATAAAGGTCAACTTCATCCTGTTCAGTGAGAGCAGTTTCTGATTTCAACTGCAGTGAAAAGACTTTGTAGCCACTGGAGCAAAGTTTCCCCCCTGAGACTCATAAAATCTAATTCAGAATCCCTTGAGCCCTCTACCAAATGCAAATAAAACTGAGGCTCAAAGGGCGATGAGGCTGCAGTGACAGGCCTTGTCATAGCGCTTCTTCTAGGATGCCAGTCAAGTGAAAGGCCAAATATGGCAGGAAGGACAACTGGTGAGTGTGCTAGTCAGGCCTCACTTGATAGCTACACTGTTTTGGACAGGAATCTGTAGGCTTGAGTGAGCTCCTGGCCTCAATCATAGGTTTTGACTCTGCCAAGTTCTGTCTAGGCCAAAGCTTTTTGCAATGAGATGCAAGATGCAAAATTTAAAAAAAAAGGAAAATTTGACCAGTTATATTTCTGTAAGATAGGAGACTATATATAGAAAACCCTGATGTCCATCCAGGTCACCTCCTTTTCCATGAGCTTAATTGCCTCCCTTAGGGACACGACTCCTAAGAAACAGGAAGAATGAGGAATGTGGGTGCGGGGTGCTAGTGAAGGGTGGAAGGAAGAGCACAGAGATGTGTTGTCATCTTCTCGTGGCACCCTATCTTCACTCCAGCTTCCATCTTTGACATTCTCCTCCCATCAGTACTCCAGGCTTTCTGCCAAGCAAGCATGGAAGGATTTCCTTTTAGGAGAAAGAGACCCTCTTTTTGCAGGTGATGGAGAAAAGATAGAGGTCCTTCAGAATGAACTCTAGGTACTGTACCAAAATCCTGAAAATACTGATGAATAAGCCAGACACTGTCATATTTTTAGAGCTTTTCTCCAGAAGCGAACAGTAACAATAAGATGGGAAAAGTGCCATGACAGAACTCTGGATCAGCATCTTGTGTTCGAGAATCAGAGTTGGGGTCCAGAAAGGAGCCCCAGAGCTTGCAATTGGAGGCAGTGATATGGTGGATTACAGTTGTTCTGGCAGAAGCATACCATGTGGCCAATTAGAACTTACCTTTTGT